CCATATGGCGTCAAATGATTCCCGGAATCAGACACCTTAGGGATAAAAATACACTCCAAACCAGAGTCACAATACTCTGATTCCGGGTGTAATCGGACTCCTGGAAACTGCGCGTTTTTGGTACGCTTCAAAAAACACCCCTTTTAGGTGTCACTCCAGGGAGTAATCGGATTATGGGGGTGTATTTTAATCCCATCAGGTGTATGATTCCGGGAATCATTTGACGACATGTGGTATAAAATACACCTCTCACCAGAGTCAGAATACCTCGGGGGGGGGGGGTGTCTGATTCCGGGTGTAATTGGACTCCTGGAAACTGCGCGTTTTTGGTACGCTTCAAAAAACACCCCTCGTAGGTGTCACCTCAACGGTGTTAAATGACCTTTGAGATGGTTTTTCTACACCGGTTGAGGATGTTTCATGTTACAACATGAAACATTGATTTAGCCGATGTAGGACGCTATAGCGTCATACATCGGCTAAATCAATAATATCGGTATACCAGAAGGCACAAACCACTGGGTACCTCCCAAACTGGTCATCCACGACACAATCACGTAAAATTAAAGACGTCAGTGACCAGTGTTAACGACTGCGCAATGTATTTTGTTCACAACTGCATGCAACTTGCATGTACAGCTGAGAAAAGCTGAGATTACAATTGCAGTTGTGAGCAATCTACATAGCGCAGTCGTTCACTAACGTATTTAATTTTTCATGATGGTGCCGTGGATGACCAGTTTGAGAAGTACACGATGTTTTGTGGTACCGTAATATTGCTTTAGCCTATATTATATGTGTGACGCTATAACAGCAACAGGTTCTCAACCGGTGTAGAAAAACCATCTCAAGGGTCATTTAGCACCGGTGGGACGACACCTACGAGGGGTGTTTTTTGAAGCGTACCAAAAACGCGCAGTTTCCAGGAATCCGATTACTCCCGGAATCAGATACCCGCCGTGGTATTTTGACTCTGTTGGGAAGTGCATTTTATACCAGATGTTGTCAAATGATTCCCGGAATCATACACCTTATGAGATTAAAATACACTATCCACCAGTCATAATTGCAGTTGCAACCACGTGACGCAGATATAAGCATACATGCATGGCATTCGTAATTTTGTATGTAACAATAAAGTACAAAAATATGCATATATATGGCGAAATCTAATGGAAGCTTACCGTAAAGCACATGGGTTCATTCACCGTGAGGAATTGCTCTGTTCCATCGAGCGGCGATTATCGGTATACTCAGACTTGCCTGCATGGTTCTGCATTGTCTGCATGGTTCTGCATGGTTCAAACTTGCCTCCGTTTCCATAGTGCGTCGCAATCTTACCGTCCTCACTTCATAATTTCACCGAGTGCAGGGCGCCTCCTTATTTGAATACGTACAGAGCAAGTTACAAATAAAAACTGAACTTTATCGTTAATGCACTATCACTTGAAACAAAACTACACTTCAAACAACGTTTGGCGACATTACAAGCACGTAAATTCAAATAATTCCTGTCCTCACTCACACCGCACACACCACGTGGCATATCGCGCGTGCAACTGAAGTCCAACGGCTTTCTAACGGTTTTCCTCAAGGTCGCACTATTTCGTCTTCGTGGTGGACCGACTAGCACAAATGACGTCACAAGACAATGCAGCCTGCTGATTGGCCTATTTCATCTTCGTGGCAGACCAGCTATATGGCTAGCACACACATGACGTCAGTCCCCATTGACTCAAATCACTGAACCTACACCAGGGTTACGGAGTCAGAGTCGGAGTCCGTTGGAGTCGACAGTTCTGGCCGTAGTCGGAGTCGGTTGGAAACGACAGTTCTGGCCGTAGTCGGAGTCGGAGTCGATATTGGAAGCCGGAGCTGGATTCGGAGTCTGATTCACCGAAAATCTCTTGACTCTGCAGTGTTGGTTCCTACCACCAGTGACGTCAAAACAATTTCTGTAATAATTTAGTGTTTTTTGATACTATCATGTGGAGTTTTTGAACCCTATGGGTGTCATTTCACTCAGTTGAGCGTTTTCGTAATCCGTGACTCGCTTATTTGGTGTAATTTGACCCTCAGTGGTGCCATAATATTCCGGTGTCATTTGAACCCAATGGGGCTCAAATGACACCGGAATATTATGACACTACCGAGGGTCAAATTACACTCAATAAGTCATTTGAACGGAATATTATGACACCACTGAGGATCAAATTACACCTAATAAGGGAGTCGCGGATTGCGAAAACGCTCAACTGTGTGAAATGACACCTATAGGATATAAAAACTCCTCATGATAGCGTCAAAAACGCTTAGATGTGTCATTTTACACTGACACCTTGCAGGATCTTTTGACACGACACCTAAAATGGGAGTCAAAATTTTGGGAGTCAAATGACCCTTGGGTATGTGATTCTGACAGAGATCAATTTACACTAAAAAACGGTGTATGGACACTGTTTTTCATAATCGGATTACACCATGGGTGTCAGTTGATTCCCAAATAGGGGATCGTGATTCCCGGGGGGAGTAATTATTTTTCTCCGTGCAGGTCCTGACTGGACCGGCGACCCACCGGTACTCACATCACTGCGTGGCGAGGCCGCGGAGGAGCACCGCTCCGTCCGTGACGGGGCGGACGAGTCCCAGCGAGGGCGAACAAGAGAGAGCCAGAAGCGAGCCAGCAGAGCGAGAGCCCCGACCTACGCCACGCGCGCGTATTTATACCGTCCCACGCAGTGTGACGTCACAACCCGCGCACCTTCACGCAATCCGAGGGCAACAGTAGGTATAACATATAGAAATAATACACATACACGCACGCTACAGGCATGGCCGTAAGAATCCGTCCTTATTCGCGAATGAAACTACATGCGAAACAAGTGCTAACTCACAAACTCACAGAACGTCAGATTAACGTATAGAATACCAGATAGGATATGAAGTCACACACTTTTTGTTACCAGTTAACATCATTACAATAAACAATGCGACCCGGTACCTCATCGCTGTTTATTGTACCAGAAGGCCCGTATTGTTTCTCGTAATGTTACATTGCCAATTTTAAACGTACATAATGTAACCGACAAACAATGCAACTAGCATTATGTTTTCTGCTTGGGAAAACCCGTGAAACCACGTAAAATAGTGAACATTCCGTGACACAGTCAGTTTTGTCTCTAACCTATCTTATCTTATATGTGCAATAGACCATGCACCCGTATCAAATTGGGTGACATACATCAGCTTAGAACCTGGCATATCGAACGTTTTGAAGTACAATGAATCATGCAGTGCGTGAGAATCGGTCCTGCAATAAGTTATTACGCACGTATTCACCGTAATACGTCGTAATATATTTCACACAAGGAATAATGCGATCGATCCGTATTCCAGGTCTGCTCCTATTTATTCATTGTTAGCTATACAGAGCTACAGGAGAAAAAGCCTGTTCCAATCCATTGCAGGGCTAATTACATAAATATAAAAACTACATGTTCTAAACGTCGGAGAAACGCGTACTTCACGTGGCACGGCTGTGCGGCGTGAAAGTCGTGACCTCGCGCGCCGGCCCGGTCTCGCCAGCGCGCCCCCAGGGTCGGGCGAAAGTCATCTCCTCGCGCTCCGTCCCGGGTTCACCGTCACGTCCCGAGGGGTCGGGCGAAGGTCGGTCAGTGGCCAGTGCGTAGGTTGCGACACCGTGCCGCCTCGCCGGTGCGTGTGGGCGGTCCGGTCTCACCACGGCACCGGCCGCGGTCCACGCCGCCGCTGCGTGGTGTTGCAGCGAGCCTTGCGCCACCAGAGGCAGTGATGCAGGTCGCAGCCCACCGCGACCGTGATTTTCTCACACTGTAGCAAAAAAAAAGAACCATTTCTAATAGAATATGTTCGATTCCGATAGGTACTCACAGACATGTTAGCAATATTCCTTCGGCACAGTTTATTCTCGAATAATGAATGTGAAAAACGGTTCTACATGGCTTCTGAACTAGGGCCTATATACGCGCATACGCCTTCTGCACGAATCTCGTATACTGCCATTTCCGAAGCACTTGAGACCAACGAGCGACTGTATCAATGCGGCTAATATCGGGTATTTGTTGCGAGCTGTGCTGGTCGGTGAAAGAAGCTGGCCGTCTTGCCCTACCCATGTGACCGTCTTACTCCATGGGGTGGGGTAAGACGGGTTTTTGCAAGGTTTTGCAAAAATAACTGCAGTTCATTTGTTGAGTCAGGTCTAAGCCTCATCTTCTGGCAAATGGAAGTAAAATGTCTAAAAAAGGTGTTCACACAGTTTCCCGTTTCTATGATGTTTCTAACCGGCCGAAAAATGGCTCCAAAGTTAAGGTGCCCGTCTTACCCCACTTTCCCCTAGTCCAACCATGCCCAACAACGGTGTTCTGGGGTGTGAGAGGTGGCGGGTGGGGGTATAAAACGCCCTTGATGTGTTACGATTGGACAACCGCCATGGTGAGCCGCACGAGTTAGATGGAAAATACGTACGCTTCAGTGCCCACCAACGCCATGACAAAATGAATTGGAGCGGCCAATTTTCACTGTTATGCATAACACACTACCTACTGAATACTGATCTTGGTCTGGCTTCTTTTGGAATGTTTTCTTAGCCAGGAGCGTCTTCAGATCGACCTCTATTTTCAGCTTTCAAGCTTCCATGGGTGTACTTACTACTTATTGCCCCATTATGGCCATATCTTCCCATAGGACGAATTTCAACAAAATATCAAATATGATACTCCAGTTCCCAGTAAAGCAATTGGCAGGCAGTAAATATTCCCTTTCTCCGTATTTCCCCATTTCCCCATATTCCCCTTACATTCCATATCCCCCATATTCCCTTTCCTCATATTATATAGGTGAAATATTTCTCCATACACCTCGATTCCCCTATTCCGGTGTATTCCTATTGGGGTTTCTACTACAATTGATGTGCAGTTTCCTACTACGCCGGGAATCGGTCTGCATGCCGAAAACGCTCACGCGTTCGTCAAATCCGCAAGTCCGCCATTTTGGCAGTGTGGGAAATGCGTTTGTCCGTTGGGACGTGTGAAGCGGGGTTGCGTATTAGCGGATTGATAGCGGATAAGAAATACAAGTGAAACACAATTGTGAGCACCGTGAAAATTGTGTGCAAATAGTGGTAACTCTGGGAAGCTTATGCTGTTGAGGAGGATTGTGTGACGGAAGTGAGGGGATTGGAGGGCTGTTCCAGACGGTCCGTCTGAGCGTGTTCGTTGGTCGCCGGACTTTCCAAGAATATTCTTTTTGAGATCATCTTTTGAGTGCACTTCTCCATTGGGTAAGTGTTAACTTTTTTGTCAACTCATTTTGAAATACATATATTTCTGGTTGCAGATGTCTTCACTCTTCCTGAGATGTGATGGAATCAATGGAATCAATGAATCAGTGAATGGGATCAATGGAGTGCACCATGATTCAGTTGGCCCAACATATGCACATTCTGCATGAACTGAGGGCCGGGGGGGGGGGCTGTTTGAGACCGTATCATCAGTCTGCTGTGTCCATAGGGCTGTTCGGGTCCCTGCAGCATAGATCTGTGCTGCATGCGTCATACTTGGGTGATGTCAACCGCCCGGCTCCGCCCACTCTCTGCCGGCACGCCGCGGCCTAGCGTCGCTGCAGCCTATTTCAAATGCGGCGAACCGTAGCACGGGTGGACTGGTGATTGTCGCTCAAATAATGTTTAAATTGCGTTCAAATGTGGTTACTAGCAATGTGCCACCATAAAGAGTGATAATGATACACGAAACAGCATACAAACCGCTTACAATAAGAAGTATCGGACGGTAAACTTAAATCCGCACCACTTTCGCCTCCTGCAGCACCAAATTTCGTGCTGCAGGAAAACGAAGTATGCTTCAGTAGGTGACGCCACACAGGCGGTGACGCAGTGGTGTGGGCGGGACTAATGGGAGCCGTAGCCCTCACTGCGCATGCGTGCTGCAGCATATTTCATTTTGGCTGCGCAGCCGAACAGCCCTCATGTTCCCCTGTATGATGTTGGAGTTGAACATCACCAGCATGTCCTGTACGAGATGACAGTGTGGTGCGGACCGACTGGTTCAAATCACAAATCAACAATGATTGAAGATGGTTATTAACATCATGCTGTCAAAATCATTGGTAATTATATCCCATGAAGAACAGATAGCTCCTCAATCTAAAATATGAGATTGAGATGATATTAGCATAGTTGTGTTGCTTTCATCTCCTATGGTCTGGCTTTCATGCTGCGCAGAGGGGTATCAGTATAGGATGCAGGTAACTTCTTACCTTCAAATGCTTCAATAACAATAATGCCCCAGTGTGGGTGCGAGTAAGTGGGCTAGTTAACTGTGCATGCATGCAGTGACATAATTGCACAGATTAACAGGCCTTTGTTCAGGCCTGTGGGAGATCAGCTATCCATTCTAGGTTGACCTGAAGAGCTGCGTACCCACACTAGGTTCTGTGAAGGCTACAGTGAGAATGAACACAACATACTTAGATTGAAAAACTGCTCAGGTTAATTAGTCAAATATGGTTTACTTTGCATAAAAGTGATGCAATAGGTACCTACCTATTAATTATGGTGCTAAAAAACAGTAAATCTAGTTTTAAGAGAAATTAATTAGGGTCATCTATCATTGCAAGTTCATCACTTGCAGCACCTATATTTGTGTTTGGCCTAAGGGATAGGATCAGATCCAATATGAGACATTGCTCCTATTAACCCGCGCCCTGCTGGGGGGGGGGGGGGGGGGGGGGTGTTTGAACACCCCCCTTGTGGTTTTTCGCGAATATCTCAAAAACGGCGCCGCCGTTTTTGGTACACCTTATCATGCATCAATTCTACACATGTTGTGAAAATTTCAGACCAAGGTCATTCAAGGTCAGGTCACCAGGTCACTTGAAGTGACCTCACCTCATAAAAAGTTTCAATGTCTGTCATAGCTACACCGAGTGACCGATCGCTTTGAAACTTTCAGCGATTGCTAAGAGTAATAGCATGTACAAAATGTATATCTCAGAATTTTGATATCGATGACCTAAGGTCAGGTCAATTTTGCGACCTCCCCATTATAAGTCAATGGGAGAAAATTGAAATGCGTCTCTTTTGGACGAAAGACATTATAAACACTCCCAAACACTGAATTACAAGTGGTTTAGACACACTGAACATGAAAATGGTGTCCGTGACCCCTGTTTATGCCCTGAGGTCATCTTAGGTCACGAATGGTATCTAACAGTTTTTCGCAAATAACTTTTGATAGAGGCATGCTAGAGCGATGAAAACACCTTAGATGTGTTCAGCTCGACGATACGGATCGACTGATATGCAACATGACCCTTTCCGGTCAGGTCATGACCTTGACCTGAGGTCAAATTTTCAAGTTGACCTTTCAAGGTCAAGTTATAGTTCATTCGATGCGTCTTGACGAGAGGAACACGATGCCGGTAAAAGTAAGCTCGTACAAGGCTTGGGTCAAAAGTTATTGCAGAAAAACTGTTTCCGAAAAAATCGGCTATTTTTGCAGTTTTTGCCCCCTGCAGGCAAAACCGTTGACGTTAGGTCAAATTTGAGAGAATTACTCAGAAAGGGCGGTAATAGGGCTATCGAATGCGCTTTTCCGCGGCGCTGTAGCTCTATTTGTTCCCGAGTTATGCGTTGGCTTCTTGGAAATTTTCGACATTCGACCTGGAAATCGGCGAAATTTTGCCTTCAATGACCTCTGGTGACCTGACCTTTGACCTGACCAATAAATTGACCGAAGTGATTTCGTCATTATTTTTGACGCTCTTTCGAACGCCGCCTTCCGCGTATCGCTACGTGGCCCAGGAGCCGAGTTAGAAGGGGGGGGGGTGTTCAAACACCCCCCCCCCCCAGCAGGGCGTGGAAATCCAGGACCCCCAGCCGGGCGCGGGTTAAGAAGCACTAGAGAGGGTAGACCAGCCAATGTAGGTATATTTAAATTTAGCATGCATGCATAATGAGTTGCCGACTGCATTCATGCTACAGCACATTTTGCTTGGGATGCAAAGCCAAACAGGCCTATATAAACCAGCATAGTTCAATCTGAATCAGTATTTTCATTTGTCAATTAACAGGATTTTTGAGCAGTGGGCATCCTGACTTGGGATAAAAGGTATTTAGTCAAGCAACCTGACCTGAAAACCCATTTAAGGTACCTTCATTATGCATGGAACTAAGGTGTTTTGCTAAGCTCAGGATGTGATTGCATGAGCTTACTTTTACTGGCATCATGTTCCTCTTGACAAGACACGTCAAATGAACTATACTTTGACCTGGAAAGGTCAACTTGAAAATTTGACCTCAGGTCAAGGTCTTGGCCTGACCGGAAAAGGTGATGCCGCTTATCAGTCGATCCGTATCGTCGAGCTGAACACATTCATCTCGCCAGCATGCCTCTATCAAAAGTTATTAGCAAAAAGCTGTTGCAAACTTTTTGTGACCTGAGATGACGTCAGGGATATAACCGGTTCAATGTGTCATGTTTACTTGTACCTCTGTGTTATTAATTGTTGCAGATTTGGTCAAATCAGGTTCAGTGTGTCTCTTAGCAGCTATCAGCTAGGGTTGCACGAATTGCTTATAGGCCTGCTTTGTCATATTATCAGGGAGCATCATTGATTAAAACACTGAAATAAACTCATAAAATGAAGATATTTGCTGTAAAAGAAATTAGGTGCAGATTTGGTCAAATCAGGTGCATTCGCCGGACAGCCCGTCGTGAAAACGGCTAATATAGCCCCCTGTGTATTTTCCTGAATAGCTAGAAAACGACGGCGCGCAGCCCCGCAACATTTTCAGTAGCTTGCCGGGCATCAATTTGACACCTTCACACAAAATTTCAGGTCTTAGGTTACCTTAGGGCAGGAGTTAAAGGGACTATCCCACCTTCTAAAATGTTATTAAAACCAGTTAAATTGTGCCCGACTTTATAGATTTGATGACCAGGAACACGGTTCTGGCATTTATTTTTCATTAAACATCTTAGGCTTCCCATATTCCAAACACAAACTTTCAAATATGTGACGTCGCAGCCCAAAATTACCTCCTTCCCCAGGCCACATTACTGTCATAAAGCTGATTCTTTTTACTCTGTAGGCACCACAACAAAGTTCAGACCAAGTTTTAAGCGATTTTTCAACGAACAAACCCATTTAAATCAGAATGACTAAAGGAGGTGACGTCACACTAACGGTCGCTCCATGTTGAAGATAGGGCCTTGCGCAAGGCCCATTTTCAAATGAAGGGAACGAATTTCTTCAACACCAAGAGGCCGCGGGGGTTGCAACCTAGATAGATAGTGGTTTCTGAACCTCGCCGCAAACTTGGCTATCTCAACTCAAACCCCATGTTAAAGGTGGGATAGTCCCTTTAATGAGGTCAAACTGAGGTCATGTTCGAGCAAAAATGAGCAAAAAACATGAAATCTTGAAACGCTCACAAAAGCTACAGTTAACCCGCGCCCGGCTGGGGGTCCTGGATTTCCACGCCCTGCTGGGGGGGGGGGGTGTTTGAACACCCCCCCTTCTAACTCGGCTCCTGGGCCACGTAGCGATACGCGGAAGGCGGCGTTCGAAAGAGCGTCAAAAATAATGAGGAAATCACTTCGGTCAATTTTTTGGTCAGGTCAAAGGTCAGGTCCCTAGAGGTCATTGAAGGCAAAATTTCGCCGATTTCCAGGTCGAATGTCGACAATTTCCAAGAAGCCAACGCATAACTCGGGAACCAATAGAGCTACAGCGCCGCGGAAAAGCGCATTCGATAGCCCTATTAACGCCCTTTCTGAGTAATTCTCTCAGATTTGACCTAACGTCAACGGTTTTGCCTGCAGGGGGCAAAAACTGCAAAAATAGCCGATTTTTTCGGAAACAGTTTTTCTGCAATAACTTTTGACCCAAGCCTTGTACGAGCTTACTTTTACCGGCATCGTGTTCCTCTCGTCAAGACGCATCGAATGAACTATAACTTGACCTTGAAAGGTCAACTTGAAAATTTGACCTCAGGTTAAGGTCATGACCTGACCGGAAAGGGTCATGTTGCATATCAGTCGATCCGTATCGTCGATCTGAACACATCTAAGGCGTTTTCATCGCTCTAGCATGCCTCTATCAAAAGTTATTTGCGAAAAACTGTTAGATACCATTCGTGACCTAAGATGACCTCAGGGCATAAACGGGTCACAGACACCATTTTCATGTTCAGTGTGTCTAAACCACTTGTAATTCAGTGTTTGGGAGTGTTTATAATGTCTTTCGTCCAAAAGAGGC